TGTTTATTTTCTTTCACCTCTAACAACTGCTGTAATTTCTCTTCTTCTTTATTTTCTTTTTCCCCCAACAACTGCTGTAATTTCTCTTCTTCTTTATTTTCTTTTTCCTCCAACAACTGCTGTAATTTCTCTTCTTGTTTATTTTCTTTCTCCTCCAACAACTGCTGTAATTTCTCTTCTTGTTTCTTTTCTCGTTCTTCTGTTTCTTTTCCCTCCAACAACTGCTGTAATTTCTCTTCTTGTTTATTTTCTTTTTCCTCCAACAACTGCTGTAATCTCTCTTGTTTATTTTGCTGTTCGAGCTGCCATTGTTGTAGGTTTTCTTGCTACTGCTGTAATCTCTTTTCTTGTTTCTTTTCTCTTTCCTCCAACAACTGCTGTAATCTCTCTTCTTGTTTATTTTCTCTTTCCTCCAACCACTGCTGTAATCTCTTTTCTTGTTTCTTTTCTTTTTCCTCCAACCACTGCTGTAATCTCTCTTCTTGTTTATTTTCTCGTTCTTCTTTTTTTTGCTGTTCTTGTATTGCTGCCATCAAATCTGCTAAGCTGTAGTTTGATTTTCCGCCTCTCGTTTCCATTTTTTTGTCCCACTCTCTGACACCAATTTGTTACGTCTCCGTTCCCTAGTTAATTAGCGTTAACTAGCGTTACAAGTCCTTTCTTAAATAAAACTAGTTTATTCTTTCTCAATTCAACTTTGCAATACACTTAATTTCCAAAGTCACTTTGACTTAAACACACGCTATAATTCATAAAGATTCACGCACTTTACTTACGGTCACTACGGCGCTTGACTAATTGTCCGTCTGCAATTCTATTCTGATTAATTAATTTCGCTTTATCTGGCACACTTATATACAAGAATAGAGGGCGCGTAGAAAAGCCCAGAGTTGCCACGAACAGACATGATCCTTCTAGAATATCATTACATGTTACTAGCATAACGTGACTTCCGCTGTCGTAACAATATATAATAATTAAAACAAAATTATTTGGTGTAGTTGTTCTGTATCTATGTAAATGAAAGCAATAGCATTTTGTAGTAAAATCTAGACCCTACTGTTATTTCTATCTTTTTGTAACACTTTAAAGCTTTGGATAGCCATAATGAGAATGTTTTACATTAATTTTCCTGCATATATGTTAACTTGATTTTAATTAGATCTACAATTAATACACTAAATCTAAACCAGGAATTCTCAAATTGTGGCATTGGTGGTACTTGAAAAAATTAATGTAAAAATTATAAAATTTGAATTAAGCCTAATCTGAGCTTCCTGCATACACACATACCCACTACTAGACTTGCCCTGGGCCTGTGTAGACTTGCCAGAGTTTCCTTCCCTAAAATTGACAAAAAAGTTACAGAACATATCATTCAACTATGTCAGAAAAAAAAAAATCATTTTTCCCATTAATAGGTAAGTAGGTAATGTAAGTTTTTTTCAGTTTTTTAAAATTAGGTCTGGGTTTGTATTTTAACAAAAAAAAGTTTAAACAAAAAGTGGTATGGTAGTCTAAAAACTGAGAACCACTAAAGTTTGAAGGGTGTGTTAAAAAAAACTATTTACAGTAACAGAAAAGGTTATTACAACATTAATTTTCTTATTCAAATTGCTATATTATAAATGAAAATACAAAACTGTATAAAACAGTGCAAAAACAAATTGGTCAACATTTCAATCAAATGACCTCCATCTGGGAAGTAGTTTGGCTAAAACAGTGATCAATTGTATTTTTCACGTTACAGCATTTTTATTCATTTTTTCTATTTTCAGATTTCATAGTGCTACTGTAGCTGTATTCATTTGTTAACTGCTAACGTTAAATAACTTTCCAAGAAACATAATTCCAATTAAATACAACTTTTTTCCTACCCTGCTCTTTCTTTATAATAATGGTAGTAATATTTTTAAAAAAGCTGTAGCTTAAAAAGATCATATACTTCTGTACTATAAAAAAACTTCTGTAAGGAATAGAGAAATATATTCAATATAACCTTTCTTTTTAGACAAGAATTTTTAATTCACTGAGAGACAGGTTTTATAATAGGATAGGTTCTTATTCTGATAAAATAAAATATATTAAAGCTTAAATCAAAGGCTCAATGTAGTAAAATTGTAGTTTTAGCTTTCAACTTTAAAAAACTTAAATGAAAGTCAAACACTGATCTAACTTAGAGTTAATAGTTTTTACTCAATTGTAAGGTACAACCTAAGTTTAATTTGTCTAAATGGTTTATGCATTAACATCAGAAAGTCAATTTCAGTAAGTATCACCTTAGAAATATATCTAATGTTGGTTCATGATCCACCCACATTGTTCATGTATCACACAAGCTTCAGAATTAATTATGATGCTGTTCTGTGAAACATTCAAACACTTAAACAATTTATGGTGATTGAGATGTGGCTCTGAGATATCAAAGTATCGTATTTTCCTTCAGTAATGTCTTCCTACTTCTCAAAAGAAATAAATACACTTTTGCAACAAATAAATAAACAAAAACTACAGTGGGGAGACACAAACTTTTATTTTTCACTGCTACAAAACCTGTACATTAACAAAAGAAATGTACTATCTAGCTGTAGACTACTTCTTTGCGTAGAATACTTCTAGTTAACAAACATTATAATTATTTGTCAATACCAGTACCATTTTCACTTGCAAGAAGGGATGAAACACCACATAAAAGGCACTGTTGTCCCTTTCCTATATCTTCATTTCTATTTCACATCTATCATACTGTTTATTCAAAAGTAATAAACATAGTCTAATAGTACTGAATTACACTGTCCTATGGGACAATGAGAAGTAACTACACATAATATGATTCCCAAAATAGTGTTCCTTTATCTGATTTAGACAGTTAAGCTTACAGTTAAAACCTTTAGTTTCCCATATCTGGACTTCTATTATACCTTTTAAGAAAAAAAGAAAACAAAAAAAATGACATTGCAGATCAATATGTTGTACAGAAATGGATCAAAGGGCTAACTGATAAAACTATACTTTCCACCTTAATTAGAACAATTTGTTATTGGTACATCTGCCACTGTTATGTTTACTTGGAAGGCAGGAACCCTGCTGGAGGTTGTTTTGCCAAAAGTTCCTGCATATCTGTTGGATAAAGTGCAAGAAACTTAAACCTGTCTCCCATTTTTTCAGGACTGACAAGCATGTCATAACCAGACTTTAATTCCTTTTCTAGTTCTGGGGTTGCAGATTTCAACAGTTTCTAGAGAAAGAGAAGAACAACAATAATATAATGTTAATATTAAAAAATATAAAATACACTTGCTAAGTAAAGTAATGAAAACATTTAAATATAACACAAAGCCTCAATCAGTCAGATGACAGCATCAAACTAATCTGGCATTACAAGCAAATGCACAAATTAAGTAAATGATAGTATAAAATTAGTTATATCTTATTCAATGCCTACAATCTGAGGTTATGCATTTTCAAAAAAAACTGTCAATGAATTCATATGTCACTAACTCTTATTGCTCAGTAAGCAAGTGCATGTCTCCATTTAATGGTTATCACTAATCCACTCTAAGCTGTATAACTAGCTAGTCATGAAATCATAAAATGGAACACTAGAAGAAGTAAAATCCTGGGGTGTCCAACAAAAACTTGGTGCATACTCAAAAACATAATAGAAACATATCAGCTTGGAACCTTTGTTGTTTCCACATATTTTCTAGATGTATTTTTAATGCAAGTCATCGGAGCAGAATTTAAGAATATGTACACTTTTATGATTTCTCTATAAAAACCTTCTCAATACTACTACTACTACCAAAAAATTCTGGATTAATACATTAATAGAACTAAACAAATTTGCAAAGTTATCAAAGATATACAATAAAAAAAAGTTTTAAATCTAAATATAACTTTTGAGTAAATTATTTGTCATAATCCCCCTTTCCCTCCAAACAGATTAAACTATTTAAATTGAAAATGGTATTAATGCAACACACAAATTCATTTAAAGATTTCTTTGTTGTTGTTAGCCAATAAGAAAAAAAAACTTAAGAAAATGACATACCTCTAGCCTTGCTTTAATAGACATATTTTCAAGAAATGTTCCTTGTGGTATGGGGCCATATGTCAAGGCTGGAAATAATAATTTTGTTATGAAAGTAGTTTACTCTTCTGATTTAACTTATTAAAAACACTTCATTCCTTTCTGTATTTAGTGTCTGATAAATAAAGGCAATCATTCAGATATTTTCTAACAGTTACAAATGTACTTCAATGAAATGAACACAATTATATGAAATATTTGCTCTTGACAATAAATTGATTTTACAGTCATGTAATATTGGCTTAACTACTGATACAAGAATTTAATCATGTTATTTTGACTAATTTTAATTAGTGAGGAAACAATTCAAAGGTTATATAATCTTGATAAAAAGGCAATGACTGGAACAGATCCAGAAATCTAGTCTTGCTTACTGCTCAAGATTCTTCTACACTGACTATGCAAATTGTAGCTTTTTATATCAAACTGACAACTACTACTTAGTAATGAGCATTACAGTCACAAACCTGAAAAGAAATTACGAATTATCTATATTAAAACAAGCTTCAGTTTGAAAAAAAAAACCTGTAGCAGTAAGCCTCTTTTCTACATACAGATATAACTAAGCTTAGTGAATAAACATTTTTTTAAGCATAACAAAAACATATACAAGTATCAGATATAATGATGCAGTTTAAACTAAAAATTACATGTCCTAAGCAAAACCAAATTATCTATTTCCTTTTGCACATATCCAAATTAAAACTTTTGTATACTACTCTACCAGAACTATGCTTATTACCACAAAAAAATTCTAAAACTTATTTTCTACAGGAAGTGTATGTTTTATTTGTGACTAATATAAGGATTAAATTCTGTTTATACCTAACCTTGTTTTATAAGAGAAACATAAAATTCTCACTTCTTAATACAAATTACTAGTAATTCTACAAACAAACTTAAAGCTAGTAATAATACGTTCACTAACTCATTCATTTTGCACGTTTTTAATTCTTCAATTAGGAATACAATAACTAAAGAAGACTATGACAGAAAACTATATAAATCTGTTCCATTAGAGCCATGTGAATTATCTATTGCACATTAGTGTCTGTGGTCTTTGTTTTAACAATAGGAATAAACATGTTAAGTACAAGCATGCAAAGTTCAACAAGAACTAAGTTTACTGTTAAAGTAATGTTTTAAGTGTTTTTTATACCTTCTAATTCTTATGCAAGTAGCCAATTTCAGCATGCTTTATTCAGATTTATTCTTCAAATGAGATTTGGAAAACATACAACTGAATTAATTAATTAATATCAACTTCTGATTAAAGCAAGGTACTTACTTAAAGAAAAACTAAAATATCAACATAGTAAAAGAGCTAATTAAATATACTTTTCTGATGTTCTTATACTCATAATAATGATCATTTTTTCCTCAGTTGTATACCCTACCTGTTGATGATATTTTTGTTCATAATAAGATTGTTATAATTTATAAATGTTTTTTTTTAGTATTTACTACTTTAAGCTTAAGGATGTATTAACCTTCTCACTACAGACTTGGTGGATTACACCAACCTTGTGATCCCAAAGTAATCAGTTTCCGTACTATAACTTTTAACATGACTTGTGTTTCTTCATGAAAAATTTTCAAGCTTTTAGTAAACAATGAGACTTTTGCAGACAAAAATATTTTAAAAAATTAAAATTTGTAATTAAGTATTTTCACTAAAAATTTGTCTGTGATTATATGGAGTCAGAGTGATTTTCAATTTAAGAATAAAAGTACTTTTTTCATCTGGAAATTATCAAATTTCATTTGTGTAATCTCTAAAACTTTCTAAATAAGTATCAACCTTTTTTTTCTCTCTAAATCTTTATATTTTATATGTGATTTTCTCTAACCTTACAGGATACTTGATTCTGACAAATAATCAAATTATAATGAAGAAAAATATGCAAAAAGCAAGCAGTATCCTATAACTATCAGAATTGTGAGAACAAATTTGAAACTGAACGTTGAAATTGAAAATGCCCTGTACAGAAAACAATGTAATATAATAAGTCATTTTGTTTTATATTGGTTATAAATAATGTAATATAAAATATCCAAGAAAACTACAGCCAGTTTGTGAAATAGATGATGTGACAGGTTGGCATGGCAAGTGGGTCTGATTTTCTAGTGTATGGCTCTGTAAGCAAATAAGATTGAAGGTTATGAAACATCATGCTTTGCCTGAATAATAACAGTATTATATTGAGTAATTTATGTTAAATTCCATACTTCTTGGAGTGGTGGTAAATAAATTACAGATGAAGGAAGACCTAGAGAGCAAATGTCACAATTCTCATACTAGGAGAGACTGAAGAATTTTTAAACATTTCCTTATAAAATTAAGAACTTAAAATTCATATGATATTAAAATTTTATTTATTAACTATGTTGTGATGCCAAGTTTATTCATATAAATTAATAATAAAGCAGTGTAATTAAATTTTTAATGTAATTCTGTAATACAAAGTTGTGAAATGTGCACTTTGACCTACCCAATGCAAAATGGTTAAACATGCTATAAATCACAACTCATACAAACACATGATGTAATATACAGATCATATTAACTCTTTCACTGCCATAGGCACACACCCCTCTCTCTAGGTCAGTGCCATGAGCAATTTTATGGTACACACTATATAACCTTTTTTTTAGCCCTGAAAGTACGATGTTAACCACACAAGTCTGTAATTTTGCATCACCATGAGGAAAGCATATTCTCTTTCAAACTTCCTAAAGTTTACAAGTTCCACATTTCAGATAAATAACGAAATATTAAATTGTCTTTTTGCTTTTTTAATGTATGTCTAAAAATAAACCTGTTTATTTAAGAGTGGCAGCAAAATGAGTTAAAAATACACTGTAGCATACAAGTCATATTAAACATGCTTCAATGTGCAGATCATATTAAAAATATGCTTTGGTGTACAAATCATATTAAACTGAAAGTTTTAAGCACCCCAAAGTTAATAAACAAACTGAACTGATGAAGTTTAATGCTTGAAGGGAAAATAATATAATTAACTGAAAACATTTATGCAGTAGTTAAGCAATTAATAGTTCCAATTGAAGAAAATGAATGGTATCTTACCTATTCCAATCTACTAAGCCTTAGCTTTATTGAAAACCCCACTATGAATACATTATCTTTTTATTATTCATTTTATACTTTATAGGAAACACAAGTGATTCTGGAAGGTAGGAAACATATTTAGAAGTTTAACATACTTTATGTAACTTTTTATTTTAAGCTAAAAATGGGATTTATCTTAAACTTTGCCATGTAAAACTATGACACATATATAATTTAGTCTACTTGCTAGTCAATACACAGTTTTCAGTAAAGCAAAACAAATTAAATATTATGCTTAAATTTTACAGTTCTTGAAAAGAAAAAATCTAAATGTTGAAAGAAAATGTGACAATCATTGTTTTAGTATCAATATCTAAATTCAAGCCTGGTAAGATATATAGAATAAATTCTAGTTCTGTAATATAGGTATTTAACATCTTAATCATGTGTATAATGTTCAAGGAGTTTCTCAGAACTGCAGTCAAGCATTTAGGTGATATTAACAAGTTCTGTAATATAGGTATTTAACATCTTAATCATCTGTATAATGTTCAAGGAGTTTCTCAGAACTGCAGTCAAGCATTTAGGTGATATTAACAAGTTCTGTAATATAGGTATTTAACATCTTAATCATCTGTATAATGTTCAAAGAGTTTCTCAGAACTGCAGTCAAGCATTTAGGTGATATCAACAAGGGTTTTTGATCTCACCTCGTCCCTGGACTAATTTCTTTAAATACGAGAAATCGACATCTGCAGTAAGATCAGCTGTTCCTGGTTCACATAATGGGTCGTGCAGAGCATGGCGTCGGAAGGCCTGAAACAGTACAAGTGAACAGATAATTCACAATTATATATCACAATAATATAATGTTCTAGAATATGTTTTAATTATTTTAACTTAGATGCTTGATTGCTAGAGGGCAATTTTGGCATGATGTCTAGAAGTTTTCTAAACCTGATGTGATGTCTTAAATCTCCAAGAGATACAGAGAAAACAAGCATTGTATAAAAACACCAGAGTGAGAGTGTTAGTTAAGTCACTGAGTTAGAGTTCATTTAGTTAGTGAGTCAGTCTGTTAATTAGTGAATCTATTCATGTTATTAACTGATTACTGAATGACTTAGCCAGTTTTGAGTTGTGTCATAGATGATATGAGAAGAAATTTTGTTAGTAAGGTATGGGAAAACACTTACTGTATAAAATCACCAGTGAGTAAATAAGTTAGTCATTAAGTGAATTAGAGAGTTGATTTAGTCAGGGAGTCATTCAGTTGATTATTTAGTAAGTGAACTTGTTACAGTGTTATCCATCAATTACTGAGTGGCTTAGTTAGCCAGTTTGGAAATGTATTGTAGATATAGGAGGAAATTTTGCAAGTGACTGTTTCTTGTTTTATTTGCGAGTTAGGCCAAACAATGAACATGATTTATAGAATTTGTACGTTACAGTTGAAGAAATAAATCACTTTTGCTATTGTTAAGTGGACTGGACTTTGCATTATTTTTTAACAAATAATCAAAAGAACCCACCCAGTGATAGAAACTGTTACAACAATATTTTGTGATATGCCAGTTATGATTTTCCAAATAATATTGTTTAAAACAAACAGAACAATTGTCTATGATTTAATAAGTGAAACTGTTATGGATATACATCATTTTCTATGAGAAAAAACAAAAATCTTCCTGCTTGAAGAATAAACAGCTTTATAGCGTAAATACTGTATTATCAGTTTATTCCGATAAATTCTCAAATGTTCAAGCCACTAAATTAAATATTTCATCCTGATTTCAATTCTAAATCTTCCATTTATAAATTTTGACTGTATTTTTCAGATAAATCTATGTATTGAACTTCGGGATTTACAGATCATCTACCAATGATTTAAAGAAATAAAAATTTACAGTTAACTGAATAAAAATAAAAGACAGTACAAATTCAATACAAACACAATCATATCCCAATAAAATGAAGTATAACATTTCTAGGGTATTCAAAACAAGTCATCTGTTCTAACACAAGATTTCAAAGTAGACCTACTCTCATTCTGGATACTTAACTTGAATACACAGAACTAATCCTACTGCAAAAGTTGCTGAAAGAGACAAAGTAATATCTGAATACTAAGCAGTATACTACCTAAATCCCCAAGATTTCTTACACTAACAAACACATAAATGTAACTCTGGGAGACTAAGAATCTCGCTGCTCATTTAAAAGACACTTAAATAGATGAACACTAAAAATTATTACAAAATTTGTTTTCCAAAGACAGTAACAAATAATTTTTTGACAGACTTTCTTACTCTGATCAATCTAGAAAGCAAAGTGTAATCAGTGGATGTTGTAACAATCTGAATAAATATTATACAACTACATCACAAAATTACATCTACCAGACAAGTTTTTAACTAATCACAAAAAACTAAACTCAATACTATTGCAATAACAAATAAAGTAATAATCTGTTAGTCACAATAAGAAAATTTTCATGAGAACAATAATTGTACTGCCAATATGATTAATACTGTAACCACCAACCTCACTAATAATACATCACCAGCCTGATTAACGTTGTAACCACCAATCTGATTGATAATGTATCACCAACTTGATTAATATTGTAACCAACAATCTGATTGATAATGTATCAGCAATTTGATTAACATTGTAACCACCAATCTGGTTGATAATGTATCACCAACTTGATTAACATTGTGACTACCAATCTGATTGATAATGTATCACCAACTTGATTAACATTGTAACCACCAATCTGACTGATAATGCATCACCAATTTGATTAACATTGTAACCACCAATCTGATTGATAATGTATCACCAACGTGATTAACATTGTAACCACCAATCTGATTGATAATGTATCACCAACTTGATTAATATTGTAACCACCAATCTGATTGATAATATATCACCAACTTGATTAACATTGTAACTACCAATCTGATTGATAATATATCACCAACTTGATTAACATTGTAACTA